CGGTCGACGGCAGGCGGCGGTGCCTCGATCGTCGTCGTCGTCTTCCTTCCGGATCGTTCGCTCTTTCGATCGATTCGCTCGATATTCTCTCGGGACCCTTCTGGCGCGGGTCGTTCCTCGAATCGCAGCGGTTCGCTCGGGTCCGCCTCTATCCTGTTCAAGACGTGCTTCGGGCTCGTGGTATCCGCCAGCGGTTTCTTCAGCATACCCAAGTAATAATCCTCCACGAAGCGCATCGTGTCGACGAAACGATCCAGTTCGGCCTGTACGAGACCCACGAAAACGTTGTGCAGAATCGAGGCCTCGAGGACGGTCCAGCCATCGTCGATCAACCGCCTTCTTTCCGTTTCCGCTTCTCGTTTCCTCTCGTCGCAAATGTCCCAGAGCGTCGCTTGAAAATCGGCCACGCGTCGATGCAGCTCGCACTTGACGTCCGCGTCGTGACGAGCGTCCGGGTCGATGGCGTTGAAAGCTTTGTGAAAATCGTACAACAGATCCTGCTTTTTGTCCGGTCGTCTAACGAAATCGTTCATGTTTCTGCCGACGATGTCTCGATACGGAACGATTCGCGCCACGCGAACGCTCTTCAGGTACAGCATCTCCCTGACGCTCTCCGTATACGCGATTTCCATCTTCTCCCATACGTTGGCCAAATTTTCCAAGAGACCGGCGGCCAACGGAAAATCGACCCACTGCCAGTTAGGATCACCGGGTCTAGCTTCGCCTGGCTCGATCGTCCAGTCCGGTCGGAAATAGTCGATCGAGAGCCGTTCGTCCTCGTAATCCGCCTCGAGCGCATCGGCCTCGTCCAAAAGACGTCGAACCACCGGCGCCCTGGAAACGCCGACCGTCCGCTGTCCCGTATCGGCCTCTAGCTCTTTCAACGCGTCGCCGAACAACTCCTCGGACGGTTTTCCTTGCAGCGGTTCGCCGATCACTAACCGTGCCAGTCTCTTCAGCGCGTCCGAGTCCAAGCTCGAATAATAGAGCGCGTACGCGTTCGCGCGTTTGCGAGAAGCGTAAAACCTATCGATCGACGACGCGCTCTTACTCACCGATTCGTACGAACAATCCGGTCGGAAATTCTTC